TTGCTCAGAGTAAACATCAGACTCCAATAGCTCTTGCGAGGTGCTTCGCTTTCGGGTAGTTCCGCAAATCATGTCTCCGAATGGAAACAACCGCCGCGGTCGCAGAATGTAGTCATTCATAACCGTAAAGAACAGGCAGTTCTCTTGGATTCCAAAAGTCATTTTCAAAATCGGAAGTCTTAGGTAGAAATATCTTTCTTCAAAGTCACCACCTATAAGCTCTACATTATCTTTCTCAGCATAAGTACCACTTGAGAACGCCACTGCGATTACTTCACTGTCAACTCTGGAGACGGACTCTAAGCCCGAGGGGGTTCTGACGACTCTAGAGAGCGTGTTTTCTCCGGTCTCATCACCACCACTAATGTCATGGAACTCCAGCTTACATTGGAAACCAGAAATCATGGCACATTTCGAGATGCAAACATACTCGGTACTGAACTGTCTGACGATAGCCATGCCTTGCGCGTTTGTTCCGATGATGATTACTCTGTCGGGTGTTAAGCCAGAAGGAGACAGATCCCCGTTAGCAGATAGCTTATAGCCGTAGGCCTTTCCACCTTTGCCGTCTGTTACCCAAAGGACATTGGATGGCTCATCGTAAGAAAGAGAAGTTGCAGTACCTTCAACTGACGCAGATTTGGACAAACCAACCCAAGATGGCTTTGGCGACGAAAACGAACTTGTCACACTAGATTTCTTTACGGAATAAATTTTTTTTGACGCGCTGTCACTGATCCAGATGTAATCTCGAGCAACAGCTACTCCTCCTATTTTTACAACTAGAGGACTTCCTTGACTACCAAGTTGAATTATCTTTTTGACTCCATTACCAAAGTTGGTTATTACTAAAAGTGATGCTTTCCCTTTGTTGCTAGAGACTCCATGCATACCCAAAATAACCTCGCTTCTGGAGAGCCTTGAGATTCCCTCTAGTTTATAATCATCAAACAAACCTGGGGTCAGCCAACGCCCACTCTTTTCCATAGAGGAAAGGTCATCTAGATGTGGGAACTTCCAAGTGAAAATGGTTTTTAAGTAAAGTGATGACGATCGTTTGATTGATCGTACACAAACTTCTTCCGAACAATAGGGTATTTGTTCCCAGGGTTTGTAAGCCCTGGGGTCTAGTCCTCTCTGTCGCAGCTGTAGCTTGTTAAGAAAGTCTGTAACCTTGTCCAGAAAGTTGTTGACTTTTGTAATAGTATCAGTGAATTTGGTGGCGTATTTGTTAAGATAGGGCTTCACAACATCACTGAGTTCTCCCGTTTCAGATAAGAGGTCGATAATTGGGCTCGAGAATGAATTCGTCACACCTTTTAAGCTCTCAGCATATTTTGAAGCATCTTGGGTAACACTATCTAATGCTTGCAGGACGTGGTTGATATTCTTTGTCTTTTTCCAAAGTTCGTATGATAGTTTAAGTTTAGAACGCACATCTTCAACCGCTTTGATATGTTCTAGAACAGCATCATCGTAGACATTTCTCATTGCTTTGAATGTGTTTTCGAGCAAGTCTTGCATTTTCTTCTGAGTTTCCCTTGCCTTCTGTACATAGTCCACGATTCTTTCGATTCTTTCTTTTACTTCTTTTATGGAGCGCTTTTGAATGCCACTCCCCTCATTGTTCTCGGCCTGTCGGCCAGTGATCTTTTGGAAAACCGCCTTTACTCTTTGAACATCATCTTTAAGGGAAAAATTCTGGACTTGTTCCACTAACATTTTCACCGTGTCGATAACAGCTGTGATGTTATCAACCCCTTGTTCGCAAGTTTGAAGCAGGTCAGTGTATCCACTCGCTTCTTTAAAGTTGTCTTTAAGGACATCAACCTTATCTTTAATGGTTTTAGCTTGATCAATAAAAGCTTTGGAAATGCAAGTTCCACCCTTGATACACTTCTGTATTTTAAAGTTCTTCCATGTAGCCGGAACCATGTCATATAGAACTCTCACTTCCTTATTGAAGTCCTTGTACTGATCGATGACGTATCTCCCAACCCCAAAAGCTTTGCGGACGCATGGTTTAGTGCTCTCTATGAGTATATTCTTGATCTGCTTGCAGTCAGGTAGTTGACCTGCCGTCTCTAAAATAGGCGAAAGATTGTTGGTGAAAGGCTTCAGCTCTATTAAGACACCCATCATTTCACGCACCATGGCCTTGATATTTCGTAATTCGTCTTGCATCTCGTCGATGGGTTTTTTAATTCTAAGAAACTTCGACACGGCTTTGCTTATGAGCTTATCGGCCTCTTTGTTGAAAAACGTATCAACTTCTTCGACAATGTCATAGTTTCCAAACTTGTCGAGCGTCTCAACAGCGATGGTCTTAAACTCGTTGCAGACATCTCTTATTCGCTGATCAAAGTCAAGTCCAAATTGCTTTCTTATATCAAGCTTCTGGATCTCTTTTTCGTAGTCTTGAGCTTTGTCTGCAAAGTTAAGTATATCATCAACTGTTTTCCTTGCTTTATTCGCATACGCTGGAAGATTCCGGAGACGCGCAAGGGCCTCGTTGATTCGAGCAGCTATTTCACGAACGGATTTCAGAAACCCTTTCTTTGTGTTAAGAACTGAAAGAAAATCTGATATGATCTGGGCAACGCGAGAAATCTTCCCGACACGAGCTGCCATGTTCTCTTCATACCACGTCTCGACATTAGACACAGCGGATTTCAACTGTCCTCCAACCTTTTTTATGTTTGTGGCAACAGGTCCAATGAACGATCCTAGCTCCATAAGTGCTTCACGAGCGTTTTCTTGAACTTTATCTATTACGTCAGCGGAGAAATTTGCAGCTTTGGTGCATGCACCATTGACTTTTGAGGCTGTCCCATTGGCAAAGTCCACTATATCATTTGCAAGATTCTGAATATCTTTCAGTTTGCCTGTGAGCTCTTGCAGCGAGTCTGAGACGAATCCTTTTGCAGCCGTGGTGAAGTTAAGTTGAATTTCGTCTATTAGAGAATCTACAAGGACAGTAAAGTTAAGGAGCTCCGTTAGTGCACTTTGGGTAGTATTCTCTACGAGCTGAAGCACTTGAATTCCTTCCTGCTCAACATTTTCTCCAAACTCCTTAAATTCCTGGGATGAATTCAAAGCCAGTTTATACAATCCACAGATACGCTGTACGTTCTTTTCCGCGAACTGCTCCATTGCCGGCCCGAGCTCCTGAAAGAAATCTGTGATATCACCTATTGCAGAGACATTCGCATATTGAACGTCAAGGACTTCAAGAAGATTCTCTAGGAATTCTTGCAGAACGTCACCCGGATTAGTAAAATTCGAGTTAGAGTTTCCGCCCAAAAGCTCGTTGAAAAGTAGTCCAAGATCTAAGTTCTTGCCAGGTAATATTTCTTCAAAAAACTTTTCGAGATCGAAACCCGGGAGTTTGAACTGTGCTAAAAAGTCTCCAAGTTTCTCTAAAACAGTGATAAAATTCTGGAAGCCCAGTGATTTCAGATTGAGCTTGAACTTTAGGCGGATTCGCCAATCAAAACGTAGACCAAAGTTAAAACCGCTCCCTTGAAAAGAAGGGAATCGTTGGTTCATGTCTGGTAACTGTAACCTGGGGAATCTAATGCTTTGGAGAAAATCAAGCAAAGAAGACATATCCAGGAAACGATTGGCAAACCTTAGAAGATTTAAGGAAATTTTCTGAAATGTTTCCAGAGAAAACGAAAGGCGGATGGAGAACTTGAACGGAAGCTGGAAACGGAAACCGTTAGGAACAGACATCCCTAGGGAATTGAAATATTCTTTGATTTTGTCAAAATGCAGGTCGACAGAGACCGAGCGAAGAATGTTCAGGAGTGTCTTGATATTGAAATTTCCCGGCAGATTATGGGGCAAATAGTTTGTTATTTTACCCACAATGCCGAGGATGTTGTCCAGAGCTGCAATAACGTTTTTAAAAACGTCGTCTATGGCAGTCAGCCTTCCGAGACTTTGTTGTATTTTCTTTATCATGTCTGTCAGCCACTTCCAGTCCTTGAGGCGGCTTAGAACATCTTTGGTAAATTTTATGATTTTTCCAATCACATTAATCGGTCGTAAAGGCTGCACCAGATTCTGCACAAACTGAACGAGCTTGTTGACGAACTCTGTAAATTTGTCGATGTGCAATGGTAAATAACCAGCAAGTTTGCTGATAAACTGGTTTATCTGTTCAGCAATCACGCTCGTAATACTATCAAACTGCTTAAGGAGATCGTCTCCAGCATCTGCAACGGCGTGGATGAGATCTTTCGGGAAATCATTCTTAAAACTGGCGGATGCCTTAAAAGCAGCTTTACCTCGGACGACTTCAAATCCAAACTTGAGAATGTAGGCATGAATATGCGCATAGTTGTCAAGATTAATCTCAAAATTTCCCCCAAAAATGCCAATTCTTAGTTTTACCTGATTAATAAACTGTATGATTGATTCGGCTCCAAGCCACTTACCACCATAGGTCTTCAACCATCGCTTGGACCGGCCAAGAGCAAACTCTCTTGGCCGGAGGAATGGAAAGAGAGCACGTTTTTGGCGATGAATTGCTCGTCGTCTTTTCCTTAAATAAAGTGCCTTGGGGTGGTCACCGTGATTTTCAATGAGCTGAATAATCATAGAATCAAGAGTTTCGCTTTCTGGGGCGTGCCACAGCGCATGCTCTAGGCCTTTTACCACTGAGTCGCTTAAATGTTGATGACGCTCAACAAAGATATTAATAACGGCAGTTTTAACATCGGGATGTTCATCTGCGTATAGTGCATTCATTAAGTGTTGATTCGTGTGCTCTGGAGGAAGCTTGCGTAATGCTGAGATCACTGCCGATCGTATACCAGAGTTATCGTGGTCAATGTGTTGAAGGATAACTGGAAGTCCGGAATGATGTCCGAGATTTCCAAAGGCCCAGATGTGGTCTCTTAGCTGTATTTCGTGGTCCGAGCTGT